ATATTATATTATATATATTATATTTTAAATTTTTCAATATAAGAAAGAACTATGAATATTATCTACAATTATAATTTCAACCAATTCAGCAAATTTAATCACAATAAAGTATATATATTATATCTCATTTCATAGTTCTTAACATCAGTTACCTAAACATCTTTACAAGGCTGACCTTAATGATATTCATATAGCTCTTACATAAAGCGAACGATGAGATATGCAATAAATACTCAAATCAAAGGAGTAACGATTTTATCAACAATTAAATAATACAATCAAGCTGCATTGATAACATTTCAAAACAAATGACAAAGACAAAGACAAAATATTTAATTTATAGAAGGTAAAATTTTTTTTGACATTTATACATATACATATATATGTTTTTTTTATTATTGTAGCATTATATTCACGATATATTTGTTAAATAAAGTGACCTTAATAAAAAATACTGCAATTACAATATACTATATGTATATAATTTTATATAGTAATATATTATAATAAATTTTATTACAATTTGCAGTGTAATCATGTAATCTATAATTATCATGTAAATTAACACATTGTTGTAGCATTTAATGTGTAAATATCATAAATTGAAAACTATTAATTCGATTTTTATTGATACAAGCTACATGAATGACGTTGGCGAATTAATAACTCAGGAACAAAGTCCACGCGAGTTGATAATTCACACATATGCGCGCGCATATTTACGTGCGTTCAAGAATATCGAGATACACGATCGATTATATTATCGATGAAAGAATCAATTTAAATAAGTTTCCTTCTTTTCATTAAAATTAATCTATTCTTCTATGCAATAAATATAAAGAAATAGGTCATTCATTATCCGGTGACAAAATGTTAATCCAACTAGCAATCCAGTAGGTAAACAAGCATCGTGTGCCGCTAGTTTTAATGTCGATATTAAAATTTCTGAAAAACACTAATTCTTGATACAGAAAATTAAGGAGAATGTTTGGAATTTTTTGAGGGGAAGAAAGACAAAGAAATATCCAAATTACGATTAAAATATTTTAAAAAATTGAAGGAATAACAGTAAACTTTTTCAAATTGCGAAAGTCGCGATTTCTCGTTTACTAATCGATCTATCTCGGACGTTCCCTCTCTCTGTTCTACACTCCCCACCCCTTGCTTCTCCCTTCCAAAGTTCACACAGTGCACCGTGCACACAAACGATAGCGCTTCACTCAGTGAAGTTCATTGACAGAGCTACAAGACACGAACGACACGACGGTGTGTCGTCGCACGCGGTGCCGTGTGTGACTCGTGAATTTTTGTTCCTCTCGATGAGAGTGAGTGCCCGTCCGACCTGATCGACTGAAATTATGGCGAGCTGCAGGCTGATCGGCGTCCTCGCGCGCTGCTCCCGCGCCAACGCGAATTCCGCTTTGAAATGCACAGGTGATTACGTGTTCACTTCACTCTGCTTCACTCTGCATTCTTGCAGTCGAGATGAGTTTAGAGCTGTGCAATCTCGGACAAGTTTTACTGGAACCACGAGATAATTGCGTTTTTCTGAATTGACATCCACTTCAAAATGTCGTTTAGGAGCAGCGAGGAACACGAGAGTGCCAAAAGAGTTGAACGACATCAGGCAACAATCCTGTTGAAGTAAATGGACGTTCGAAGTTACGAACGGCAATGGCGAACGATTTATATTGGTTTCAAGACGCGAATTATTTCTTAAGGAGCATCGTGAAGTTACGAAGGAAAATCAGAGTAACTGATTGAATTTTCTTTCTGACACTGTGATACAGATATGGACTATGGATATGACAGACCGGTATGTCGGGCAAGATGCGGATAGGTGCGCCGGTGTGCGTTCGACCTTAGCTCTCACAATGGGAGAAAAAGCTGGCGTTAAGTCGATTAGCGCCAACTTCGGGTCGACGACTGGCACCAGCAACCGAAAATTATATTATTTTGAGGAATACTTTGCTATATTTGTATTAAGACACGGAGACAGATTCACAAACAAATATTACGTGATCTCATCCGTACTTTGAACTTTGTCCAAAGTACGGAAGTTTGAACTTGCAGGTTAAATTTGAACGAATTGTTCGAAACGATGCCCTAGAACTCAATTATTTGCAAATAGTTGAAAAAGGATTCCAACATAAATTACGTTCATTGAAAAATAACTGGCCCTTGTTTTTTTTTACAATTATTTTTTTTATAAATAATTATTATTTATGTTATATATCGCCTAATTTCACGTCACACTATTTTGTCTGAATTATGACTTGAATCAATATTCTAATAATGTTTTGAAAGACTTCTATTACATTGCATGATCAAATTGATTTGATTGCACAATCAAATATGATTTGACTGTGACGGAACTATTTATGTACATACATTTTACTTCATTCAAGTTATAAAAATATAAATTGATATTTTCTGTTTAGAAAAATCTTATCGATAATTTAATATTTAGTTTGTATGTAATATTGAGGGGGGAAATAACAGTATAAAAGGTTAAAACATGTAATTTTATCTCTATTGACATTGTTTATACTATTAACGAAAGACTTCCAGTTTGATATGAGCAGCCCTTGTTTACTTATAACATTATTTGAATTTATATTTATTAAAGTTGTACAATATAATTGTTTCAATTGTTAATGTTCTTTTTGTAATGAGTATGTGAATTTTTAATATTCTACGTACATTTATATATAGAGAACATTTGATTCAAATATTCCAAACTTAAGGACATTTATATTTTATAAATATTCATAGAATATTTTGTGCTATCTATTCTAATAAGTATTATATGCAATGATTCTTAATTGATTGACATTTACATGCCAGTTTGAAGTTGAATTTTGATGTTCAAATCATTCTATTATCGGAAAATTTCAAAATTATTTTGTATACTTCATGTACCTTCAGAGATAAAATGTATAAAAGTGTAGATATTGCAATGTAAGTGGTAGATAATGGAAAGATAAAATGATTTTAACGTATATAATATATATAACAAATATTTTTTTTCAATATTTTCTTGAAAAGAACATTTTGAAATGAAAAAATATTTATTTAAAGACTAAACAGCCAAAAATATAAAAAATGTTATTGAAAAGAAAATATTTATTGTATAATAGATGTATTTTAAAAAAGTATATCCAGCTATGTTGGATCTAAAAGTTAAGAGATCAGATTATATAAATAAATCTCTAGATTAAAAATTTTAAAAGTTATCACAAATAAAATTAATTATCCACAATATTGGCAAAATCTATTATATATTTGACGTTTAATTAGTTAAAATATAATGAAGTCTATATGCGCTTATGTAAATTTATATAAATATTTATTTTTGTAGATATTCAAAAATAATTGCAAAATAATACAATCATGTAATAAGATTTTATCATACAATGTAAATGATATAAATTATATCATAGCTAAAAATAAAAAAGTAGTTCATGATAAAAATTATTTCTTTATGTTATTATTATAGAATGGAAAAAAGTTTATTAGATGAAATTCTATTTTTTTATTATAATAAAATTATCTTTTATTTTATTGCTTTATTTAATTATACTTATTTCTCATATTTTTATGTGTAGGTTTGCAGCAATCAACGAGAACATTAGCAACTGAAGCAAACAGGAAATATTTTAAATACAAAACCGTTGGCGATGTAGCAGTTATTACCATAGATTCACCAAATGTCAAAGTAATGTACAATAATTTGCAGTAATATGCAATTACGTGTATATATTTGCATTAAATATGATGATAAAATTGTTTTAAAATTGGAAAAAAATCAAAGTATGCTAATACAGATCTCTTTTTTATTTACTGTTGACAGGTAAATTCCTTAAACAAGGAACTAATGACGGAGGTAGAAGAATTACTGAATGAAATTCAATCGAATACTCTTGTAAATTCAGCGGTATTAATTAGTGGAAAACCAGATAATTTTATAGTGGGTGCAGATATTACTATGTTACAAGCTCTTCCAGATGCACAAGCTGGTTATCAGGTAGCAAAAGAGGGTCACAGAATTCTGGATCTAATAGCGAATAGTAAAAAGCCAATTGTTGCTGCTATTCACGGTCCATGTCTCGGTGGAGGATTAGAGGTAATATATCTTTAGCAATTAAAAAAAAATAAAGGTGTTTAGCTAAAACAGGAAAATAAATAAATCAAGACGGTAAAATTATTAATTACATTTATTATTTTATATAGGTTGCATTAGCGTGCCATTGTAGACTAGCCGTTAACGACAAGCAAACTAAATTAGGACTGCCGGAAGTCAAACTTGGACTCCTTCCTGGCGGCGGTGGTACTCAGCGTCTACCTCAACTGATTTCTCTTCCTACTGCTTTGGACATAGCACTCACCGGTAAAAATCTGCAACCTGATAAAGCAAAGAAACTTGGCCTAGTAGATATCGTGGTAAATCGCCTTGGACCGGGAATCGGATCGTCTGAAGAAAAGTAAATATATACAAATGGAAAGCATACTTGCCTTCCCAAAGATGTGTTTACATTTTTTACATTAATATTTTTTTAAGAATCTTTTATGATTTTAGATCATTTATGTCGTAAATATATTCAAGTAGACAAACCCTTCAGAAAATATGTGTCTTGCTTTTCATGTATCAATTGCAGAACGATAGTTAAGTACTCTAAATGATTTTAAGGGATGGCTTCTCACATTTTTTTTTTAATCAAGACGAAAATTTTAGATAACTATACGTCCAAAATAACTTATGGCGAATTCAATTTGGTGCATTAACGCACACATATTAAAGCTATTGTATATACACTTATATTTAATCTGAATGTCAAAAGTTTTTGTCTTGATTTAACATATAAAATCTCTCACTCCTTAAAATTTAAACTCTTTTAGAATATTTAACTGTCACTCTGTATCATACCTATATCTCTGAAAGAAAAGTTTTAATGATGCTATGTATCAAAATTATGTAAATTATATTGCGTACTTAAAAATAAAACTTTATTTTTTAGTACGCTGAGATACCTGGAAGAAACCGCAATAAAAACCGCGCAGGATCTCGCAAATGGAAGATTGAAAATTGAACGCGGTCCGAAATCACTTATAGATAAGATAACGCAACAGATTCTATCCTTCAACTTTGTCAAAGATCAGGTGTTCAAGAAAGCAAAGGCCCAAGTGATGAAAATGACGAATGGTTTGTACCCAGCTCCGCTTAAAATTCTAGAGGTAGTAAGGGTCGGTCTAGACAAGGGTCCTGTTGCCGGATTTGATGCTGAGGCCAAGGGATTCGGTCAGCTAGCAGTCACTCCGGAGTGTAAAGGTCTTACCAGTCTATTCTTTGGTCAGACAGCATGCAAGAAAAATCGTTTTGGCACGCCTAAGAGTGCAGTCAAGTATGTCTTTTAGTAATTCAAGCATAAATAATTAAAATAATAGTCAATATCAATCTTTGTGATTTAATTTGCACAGAAAAATTGCTGTAATTGGGGCTGGTTTAATGGGCGCGGGCATTGTCCAGGTCAGTATCGACAAAGGCTTCAATGTCGTTATGAAGGATACCAACGATGCTGGACTATATCACGGTATAAATCAGATTCAAAAGGGCCTAGATGGTGCTGTGAAGCGTAAACGGATCTCTAAGTTTGCATCTCTTTTATAAAAAAGAAATTACTTTAAAAAACAAATTTTTTAATGAAAATTTTCTACACAGTCTCGAAAAGGATAAATATTTGTCTTGCCTTGACGCGACATTAAATTACAACTCCTTCAAGGATGCAGACGTAGTAATTGAGGCCGTCTTCGAGAACATCGCCATTAAGCACAGAGTCCTGAAAGAAATTGAAGCAGTGGTGCCAAATCACTGCGTCATTGCGACCAACACGTCCGCTATTCCTATCACAAAAATCGCTGCTGGTAGCAGTCGGCCTGACAAAGTAAAGTCCATGTGAATTAATGTGTAATTCTAAGCTATAATAGCATTTAATAAATATTATTTTTACGTAAAATATTTAATGTGACCATAAAAATATTTAATTTTTTAAAATTAAATTATAATTAAAAAAATATGTGATTAAATGCATTAATTAATTAAATACGATTTAATTTTGTATAGTAATTTATTATAGTAGTAACATTTATGGATGAGTTATAAAACATTTTTTTACAGGTGATTGGAATGCACTACTTTTCTCCCGTTGACAAAATGGAGTTGTTAGAAATTATAACACACAAAGGAACATCGGAAGAGACAATCAAGACCGCTATAGACGTTGGTTTGAAACAGGGTAAGACCGTCATCACAGTCGGTGATTGTCCTGGATTTTATACCTCAAGAATACTTTCCTGTATGATGACAGAAGCAATTAGGTTGATGCAGGTAAGAGCTATTGGAGCAGTTACCTTTTATAGAAACTATGAAATATTCAATGTTTGTTACAAGCATCTAAATATTACAAATACTTATACTAAATATTACTAATACTTACAATTGATGTTATAATTATTAGAACAATTAATCTTATTCTACAATGTCACAGTCATGTTGGCATTTATTATTTTAATACAGATTGCGAATATAAACGCGATGCAATCTGTTCAATAGGAAGGTGTAGATCCAGTGCAGTTAGACAAATTAACAAAGACATTCGGTTTCCCTGTCGGTACAGCCACTTTGTCCGACGAAGTTGGCATCGATGTAGGTTCTCACATCGGCGCCGATCTTTTGAAAGCTTACGGTGAACGCTTTAAGGGAGGAGATATAAATATTCTCGCCGATATGGTCAAAGCTGGTTATCTCGGTAAGGTTCTTGTCGTAACACAGAAAAAGAGAATGCAGTAGATTTTGCTAGCGTTTCACATAATTTAATTGATAATAACAGAAGAGATAAGATATCATCGACTGTAAAAGTGTCAAGTTATGCTAAAGGGTTTTACTAAATTTTAGAAAAATTATATTTTATTTTATAAATTTTAGGACGCAAATCCGGCAAAGGTATATTTGTATATGAAACTGGCTCCAAAAACAGAGATGTAAATCCTGGTGCATTGGACATTCTAAGAAACTATAAACTTGAACCTAAAGGTAGCACGTCTGATGAGGATCGTCAGATGAGGCTGGTCTCGCGATTTATCAACGAAGCTGTATTATGCTTAGAAGAAAATATTTTAGCTAATCCCGTAAGTTAATGTACTTTATTCTTACCTAACATCTTCAACAAATTATCAAATAATAAGTAATAAGAATAATAAAATAATTTATTGTATAATGTATTATCAGTGCAAAAATTCATGCTCGATTTATTATTAATTTTGAATGATAAATCGGGCATGAACTTTTGTATCGATTTAATAATAATAAAAAAACTCAAGTCAATTTATTTCTATTTATAAATTAAATAGTTCTACATCCTTTTTTTGAACTGTTCTACATCCTTTTTTGTTATTTTCAAAATCAGTTATTTATATTCAGTAACTTTATCTAAATGAAATATTTTTCTCGCTTAAATCAGATAATTGACTATGTTTTCTTTTTGTTCTTTTTCACACATTATTTAATAATTATTTATATTTCAAGTTGGAGGGCGATGTGGGAGCTGTGTTCGGCCTGGGCTTCCCGCCATTCTCGGGTGGTCCATTCCGTTGGGTGGATGCATACGGCGCCCATCGGCTTATTAAGAAGATGGAAGAGTTCCAAAGTCACTATGGTGACTCTTTCAAACCGTGCCAATTATTACGCGATATGGCGGTTGATTCTACGCGAAAATTCTATCCGAAGTAAAAGTTCGATACAAATCCATTATTAGAGCATGTTTTCATGTTGATTAATGTTAATTCGAGAACTGTATTATATTTGTTCGCTCCAGACTCAGAGAAAGAAAGTAAGTACCTCGAAATAGGTGCAAATATTAATCCTACGTTAACCTGCAACTCCGATTGGAGTCCGTATTTGTTACATCTCGAGTGTATTAATTTGTTGAAAGACTATTCCGTGCTCCTAATTGAAAGAATGTTCATCATCTTCTATTCATCAAAATGATACGTTTTAGTCATTGTAACAATATACATACAAACAATTTATACGCGAATTTATATATGTATATTTATCAGGATTTATACAGTATATATTTTTGTAAATCACACTTGGCTCTTTCAAAATCTTTTAGCCGCGAATAATTTTAACTCTGGTGGAAATATATTTTTTTTAATAAATTATTTTCTAACAGAATATCAAATATCAGATCATGTCAGACTATGAGTATAAAGTTAGTTCAAATTTATTGAATTTTAAAGTAAATATAAAAATCTAAATATGTAAGAAGAAATTTCTTTTCAAAAATAAAACCAACTTGCAATTTTCACTGGAACTCACACTTATGTATGAAGTCCTAAAGTTAATAATATATCAATTTTTTCTTAATATTACTTCTGATTAATGTCTTAATAAGGAAAAAATTCATTATCGGAATAAAAAAAACATTAAAGAAAATGTAGCTCTAGCACAATTTTATTCACGCGAGATACGGTACGACGCGATCCATGTGCAGGTCAAATGAGAGGAGCTATGCATAGCATGCATAATGAGCTGAAGTTGTCATGACTTCTAGAGAATCATATATTTTTGGATTTGATATTCACACGTTGCGATTTCCCGCGTACACATTGTAGATAGACTGGTGCATTTATTAATTTCGAGAATTTTATATGCCGCAAATATTTGATACCTTTACAAATTGTTAATTACATGAAAAACCGTAATAATTGTATATCTATTTTTGCAAAATTTATTAGAAATAAAGAGTTTCTATATATATTAAGTGTACTGATAATTTCTGAGAATTTGAATATTTTTCTTTATTATTTTTTAATAGACTATATCATCTATATTATTATACAAAGAATAATAAGAATTTAACATTCCTCAATAATCCTTCTAAGTGTAATTATTTCTATTTTATAAAATGTTGTATATGATTTATCTTTGAAATTTCACCCATTAATTCACAATTTTAACTCATTTTTTGAAACGTTTTGATCTAACTGTGTGATTATGAGTAAAAGAATCATTTATTTTTTTGTGCATGATGATCGATCAACTGCCCCGATTTTGTTTTCAAAAAACCCAATAAACCAGTTCAATAATTAATATTATTCTCCGCAATTGCACATGCAGACATAACGTAGAAATAGAAATATTTAACTTGATGCAACAGTCGAGAGATGTTGCACTCTTGTTTGTGTCGATATCATTTCTTCTAGTCGATTCTGGAACATAAATTAGACGTCTACATTAATTACCTCGTTATTTTTAATTAAATCTTCTAGTAAGTTTCCATAATTCTTTATGGTATAAAAAGTTTTAATAACATCACTAGATGACGTTTTCAGAACTTGAGCTTAAGAGTAATTTTCATAAATGATGCATAATTTATGAAGCAAGTTAATTTTCAATAAACTGCTATATTTGTAATTATATAAAGTAGGATGTGATTAACTTGCATATCCTGATAAACTACTAAATTATAGATTTTATAAAAATTGTTATGTATAACAATTTTTTATAAAATTATGCAAAGTTGAATAATTTTGATCGACATTATATAAAGTATGCACTTTTTCTGTAGTAAAGACATTTCTGAAGTTTAAATCAACTTTATCTATCCTTTTAAATAAAATGTCATATTTTTTGTGCTAAAAATGTATAAAAATCTCTCTCTCTCTCTCTCTCTCTCTCTCTCTCTCTCTCTAATTAAAAAATTTCCTTAATACAGTTAACGAAATATTTTTAATTAAAGCAATTGACAAAATCTCTAGAATGTCTATCGATGAAATATTAAATGGCTGATTTTAAAATATTTTTCGGCATACATTTGGCTAGCATTTTCTTTTTGCATTTTCATCATATATATATACTATTGTATATAAATTAAAAGCGTATCAATCTTTTATCATTATTATTAAATTTTATTCTTTAGATTTTTTTTCTGATAATCATGTAGGTACATTATGTACAAAAATCGATGATGTGAAATCTTCGATATTAAATCACAGACATGATAGACGATTAAGTTAAAATAAAACTTTTATTAATAAACACTATCAAATAAGTACTGTTGTTTATTAAAATTAATAATGTTATTGAATCACCAATTTAATGTTATATAAAGTAAATTTTAACATAAACACAACGAAAAAGAAACAAATGCTTAAAAAACGTATTTAGAAGATATGCAACTATAATATACATATATTTTTATTAAAATAAGTATCATACAATTTTCTTTCTAATTGATTTCTTACATTACATAAATTCATCGAAATTAAAGGTCATCGAAAAATGAATATTTTATGAGCTATTTTATCTCACAAACAACATATAATATTTATAAAATATTTATAAAATATTTGTAAATATTTGTAAGATATTTACATTTTTATTGATATTTATATTTTTGTGGCTTTATACTATACAGATAAATATTTATTATAAATATTGTAAAATATTTATTGTAAAGTAAATGCTATGAAAATACTTAATAAAAAATTATAATCCAAATAAAAAATATATCTATTTACAAGAAATATTTGTATTTATCCTAAATATCACATAAAATATTTGGTCTACTTCAATAATATATTGAATAAAGCTTTATATAAAATATTTATGTAATATTTAAGAAAATTAATAGTAATAAATATGTTTGTGTCATTTAATTATGTATTAATAAATATATTTACCATAAATATTTTGTGCTGTCTGGGATGTTTTATATAAAAATAAAATAAAACATCTTATAAATTATCCATTTTTTACCATATTTTATCTTTTTAGCTTTTAAACAAAAATTTTAATTTTATACAAAATATTCCCGGAGTCTATTTATATAAAAAAAATAGACCTATATTTTAAAATTTAAGTTTCTATTTAAAAAAAATCATGTCGCGTCTTTTCAATTGAATTAATAAGGAAATAAGGAAAGAAAACATTTTTCATTTCATATATTCTATAAGCAGATTAATTTATTTAGAAAATCTACATATAGAAACACATATCTATATTATTTCTCCACACACAAAATAAAACTTTAGTTCACTTTGGTAATTGTTATGTAATAACGCAACATAACGAAAGGTTGCTCGTGTCGGATAACGACCTCGTTCGAAAATCTCCTTCACCACGCAAAAATCGCGATTTTTCGTGTGCGTTTACATTCTGTCTCACAAATTAGAAACGGTACACGTGCTAGGTTCTTACCAGACAAATTTCAATACAGGCGAACGCTAAGGGTAATCGCGAGGACATTTTACATCATCTACCGGTCCCAACACACCTGTTTGTAACATTAATGTCGCTCAATGAAACCGAGTCCTTGGCTGACGCAAGAAAATCGGAAATTTCACGAGAGCCGTTACGCGCAACGACAACGACGATGTTGTTTTTTGCTCGTCCTGTTTCTTATACACACCCGGCCCGGAAAAGTCCAAGAAAGGCCGCCAATCCGCCTTCTAAGAGAAATTAAATGCAGTAGAGAGAGAGAGAGAGAGAGAGAGAGAGAGAGAATTTCCTACTGCAATTTTATTCCTTAAAATTAAAAGTAACACACGTATAACTTCCATGTTATAATTACAATTCTGATTATTTTAATTTTTAAATTGACTACTGTGCTATCACTAAGAATATATATTTTTAAATGAATTTTCCGTTGTGTGAATACAACTGTAATACTTACTGTCACATTGAAAATGACCCGATTGGTCGAAACGTTTGTAATTGATTTTATATGTTAGGAATTAAATTTTGTTGTTACTAAGTTGGCTCTAAGCTCTTTTACATTTATTTTCGTTTCATGTTATAATTTCACACTCAGCAATAGAAATCGACACACACATCCTGGTAAAAGTTTTTTATATAAGAACACAGAACATATTGAAACTTCAATTACGGGAACTCATTTTCAAGGCGTCATTACATTAAAAATACATAAGTGAAAATTTTTCACTGAGAATCTCATAATGCTGCACCTTTTATTCTTTATGTGTTTAATTTTGTATATTTAATACTTCTTATAATCAGGATTGGGTAATACCTAGTTGAAATATTAAAAACTAAAAAAAAGTTAAAAGTTAATAACTTAACTTACTTAATAACAACTTTTAACTTAATTTATATTAGTTAACTTTAAATACATTAATTTTCAAAATTTAATTTATAGTTTACTTTTAAACACTTTATAATTGATTAATTTTTTTATAAATTGAAAATTTTTTTTTTAATTTTATAAACCATTAACTTTAACTTAATTTAGTTTTAAAAAATATTACCTTACTCAACCTTCCTTATAATAAACATAACAAATATCAATAATAATAAACATATATCAAGTTTATATATTTTGCTTATATTTTTGATTATCAATGTAAAGTCAGACATATTAATAGTCATAAAATTTTATTACCTCTTTTTATATTATGTAAAGTATCTAATTTATAATATTTTATATATTTTATATTGCTTCATATTGTCTTATGAGAGATTTTTGTAACTTAACATAAATAATATGTAATTTTGCGTAAACGTAATCTTAAATATATACTATCTTAAAATATATCGACTAGGTTATAGCTCATATTTTTCTCATGTATGACGTCAATTATCACATAGATCCAAATAATTATCTACGATAAGAAACGTCTCGTCGGTACGCATGCAAAATATGCGATTTAGATGTCACGTGTGATAAAAAAAAAATATCGTCGTTGATAACGCATTGTCTGGCAAAAATTCGGTTGAACCTCACTAAAGATATGCTAATCGTTATACAAGTGTAAATACGGAAATTCTCTTTTCGTGAAAAGAAGCGCTTGAAATTTTACTTTTATATTTTCAATGTATATTTCGAGTCTTCATTATCTCTGAATGCAGGAAATTTCAGAAAGTATAAAACAAAAATATTTTAAAGTAGAAAAATTGTTCAGATTTTATTCTTTAAGAATGATGAATCAACGAATTTTAATTCTGAGAAATATAAGAAATTTAATATTATAATTTGATAAAATATATATTTTCTTAAAAATATTCTTTTTATCTATAATTAATTATTGTATGTATATACTATGTATACATATATTGTATGATTTGAGTTAAAAAAATTTTATATTTTGTTTGTATATAATGCGAAAAAACAAATTTTTCTTCGTCAATATTTTCACCTACGGCGGTAGAAATTTTATCAATGTCGGCGAACTCGTGAAATACGTCTGGCAAATTGCGATAATGCATGTGTGGGATTACGCAAATAAGATATTTGTTCTTTTTGCGTCAACTTCTAATTCGTGCCCTCATGACTCTCATATGGCTTTATTGCATTATTACATCAACAGCAAGGCGAAATAAATGCATTTATAGATTTTAATATCAATCTCATATTCCTGTTAAATTTAGACAGATATTAATTGTGAGATTATAGTATTATTAAATATGTAATCAGATACAAAATTAAAAATATTAATATCATGTTAATATGTGATCAATAAAATTTATTGACAGTTCGTAAAAACTTACAGAATCTCGTATATGTAAAATTAAAAAATTGATTTCAAAAAGATTATTAATTTATAATATCATCAATATTATATTAACAGATGGATGTTTATTATCATATAATAAAAAAAATTGTTTAAATAATTTCAGCCATTTTCAATATACTTTTGCCTGCTGAATATAAATTTGTTGGGCAAATCATAATTTTGGGAAAAAATCGGACTAAAAAAATTTGAGTTTTATGGCATTGCAACATTGACAATATATTATTAACAAAATTTATAAAAAATTTTACTTTTTAATATCATAAAAACTCTTAAAATCGTTATTTTACCTCTTTAACATTATTTTTCTCACAATTATGATATACAATATAATAGCAATTAAATTTGAAAAACGAATTTATATTCAGTATGTAAAAAAGCTATACGGAAAAAAACAATAAAATTTATTTAGACATTAATCCAAATGTGTAAATTCGCAAGTTAATGTATTATAATTAGTATGTTATGCAAATTATTTTATATCATATTATTATTAAATACAAATTATATATTTCCATTATTCGAGCAAAAATGATAACGAGGAAAACTAAAAAGATTGCTGTATAAAACTAAAATGTGGTATGCTTTAATACGATCTTCCTAATATTAATCGGAAATGTCTGAATATTGACAACACGCAAATGATAATGCGTTAATTGATTCTTATCGGTAAAAGAGACGATATCGCAAATGTCTAAACAGTCACGCGCGTTCACGTGATGGAAATTTTCTGGAATTAAACCTAATTATCCAACGAAAATCCCTTTATGCAAAAAATAGAATATCTTATTGCTATACTATCGTACATGTCTTGATACAAGATAACTCTTTTTGCATTTCATTGTCCTATCCAATTCAACAAATCACGTCTTTTGCCAGTAGAAAGCAACCTGCGTAAATTCGTATAAGTTGGAGGATATGTTTTCTTGTCGTCTCTTTTTCCATCAAGGTCGACGTAAATTTTGCAAGAATTTTTCTTAATACTTATACCATGGCAATTAAATCTTTATTTCGTTATTCTCATTACTATTAGATTTGCAATTTATCAAGTTTTCAAATTCTCACGAAAAATAATTACATAATAATTTTTAATGCACATACTGAATTATTTTACGATATTGATTCGTTAAACGTTTATATTGTGGCTAATTTTATTCATGATGTTTTATTTTTAATTCCAGTGTCTTCCAGCATTCCAACATTGCATCAAATATCAAATATATATATATATATAGTGCGTGCGTGCGTGTGTGTAACAAATATTAATTTTAATACTCCTATATTATAATATATTCGATAAATTTATAAAAGTGCTTTTATAATATCCGACGTAAAGTTTAAGACGTCAACAATTAACCCGTATGCTTAAATTGATTCTTTGAAACTGTAAAAGAAAATTACTTTTATAATTGTTCGTTGTTTTATGCAAATATAAGTTGTATGCCTTATCGGCTCAGCGAACCTATCAGGCATTTCATGTTCACGTGGGCCTACGTGTCCCTGAGCTGTATGCGCCTCTCGAGAAGGACGTAATACGCCTCTCGAGAGCGGCGCGACGTGCCTCTCAAGAGTGACACGACGTCATCAATTTTCTCATATTTCGCACACGATATATTCTTTCCCATCATTATCACTTGGTCACCTCGAATCACGACCTTCCCTACAGAATTTAAATATTGCTTCTATATATATCCCTGTTTCCATATTTAACAAATCCGTTCTTTCGTTGAAAAATAACCATGCGATTCCTCTTTTTAGAATTTTTGAAATCTTTCTTGAAAAAGAAAACGCCAATTTTGCACCGAATTTTTTCTTGGATCCACTTGAACCTTTTGTGCACAATTCTTCAGTTTGTTAACTAAAGACACACACACATCACGAATAAATTTTTTCCGAATTAATCATAATGAAGTAGTGTGAAAATCAAAGAATTTAATAATTTATGGTTTTTTTAGTATTTGTACAGAAAGATAATTTTAAAATAACAATTAATTTTTTTTAGAATTTAGGATTTTTCATTTAAGCCATTAAAAGAGAAGTTACTTGATATCAACTAATACTTGTAAATTATTAATTAACACGACATACTATATAGGTATTGATTTAACTTAAACATAAAGAAAGACGTAAAAGGAAAGAAGGATTAATAATATGACTCATAGCGATTTATACGAAAGTATACAATTTATTTAATTGTAGAAAAACTTTTTTTATACAGTTTAACGATACACTGAAGTCTTATGTCGTCAAGTGAAATTCATTCACTTGACTATGATACAAATAGGTACATATACATATATACATGTGGCAATCCCAGGAGCAAATGCAATATTTTATGAATTACCGTATAAATCATTACAATAACCATAATCTGTTCCTTAAAATACATAAAATATGAAATAAACTCTGGAAGAAGAAAATGTTTTAAATAGCTCATAGAAGATGTAAAAAATATAGTAATTATAATTTTTGAAAATTAACAGAACCGATGGTGATATGATAATTTACACGACATTGTGATTGCATTCACTCCTCCGTTATCCATATTCAATATGTACAACTAGTTTCGTTAACGTGATCATAATCTTAGATTCCTGTACATAACCGCGCGCGTTATATACATACATAAATCAATAATATTTCCTTTATAAATAAATATTTTTTCTTTCTGTCCCTCGGTCAACGCGCTCGAACTTGACGCTAAAGAGTTTCGTTCATTGAGAGCCGCTATATCTTCAGTGAGCTAAACAATAGGAAAATTTAAAACGGGTTGAAAGAATATCTGAGAAAATGTCGCTATATGTATAATATCTTTCGAAGAACTTTTAGATTTCTACATTGAAGAATCTCCGACCAGCGAAGAATCGAGCGATTTTTAACGATACCCTTAGAAATTCGTTCTCATGTCCCAAATGTAGCTTTAAATGCTGTTCATTCAATATGTTTAACGCGTTAAACTTACATTCCACATTGTTCCATACTGAAATGCGTACGGCTGCATTTAGTACTAAATGCGAGTCTGACTCTCCGCAAATGACTCGTGAAATAGCAGAACTCTCGAGTGAACGACACACTAATCTTCACGTGTCACAGATCATAGACACATTTAGATACTCGGTTTGCAAACGAGACAAAGACCTCTGTGCGATGGACCAATCGTCGTTTCGTGTCTTCTGTTCACTATGGCTTGCTCTGCTTTTCTCTCCGCTTATAGTTCAATTTGCTCCACTTTCCTTCTAATAATCCCATCTTGAAACAATGAAATCCACTTCTTATCACACCTTCCAATTGATCTGATTAATGTCAATAGATCGAGGTTCGCTATCATATTTTTCTTTCCAATTAATGTCACTCCATCAGGATGAATCAAAATTCATTTTTCATATCTTAAATATAATTTTTAAAATGTTGAATGCTTTAATTTTTATTTTTTTTAACATTGTCTCAATTTATTAGATCAGTCTATGTTTTCTTTCCACACTGTTCTTCAAATGCTAGAAGCAATCCAATTCGATTCTGAGGCACACACGTGATTGACAAAGTACAACATACTGTTCTTCATCTTCAAATGCTAGAAGCAATCCAATTCGATTCTGAGGCACACACGTGATTGACAAAGTACAACTCTCAAGCGATTTCGGAGCGCTTATATCGAGAGTGCGTCCTTCAAGCCGCCAGCTGAGGAGGTACCAGCTGTTGAACGGGTCGCGTCAGCCGCGGCGCCAACACCGGCAGCAAACTCACCCTCAGCGGCGTCGGGGCCATCTGGGAGGCGACGATCTGACCATTCGAGGAAGACGACGTAGAGGACTTGTCCCTGGCGTGGCGTTTCACGTGCTTCGCCAGATGATCGCTCCTCATGAATCGTCTCTGGCAGACGGCACAGGCGAACTTCTTCTCGCCGGTATGCGTGCGCTTGTGCCGCGACAGTTCGTCGCTGCGTGAAAAACGACGGTTGCAATCCTCATACGGGCACGGAAACGGTCGTTCGCCGGTGTGGGTACGCGTGTGAGCCTTCAGGTGTGACGACTTGAAGTAGTTCTTGCCACAACCCGGGTACTCGCATTCGTAAACGCGACGTCGTGCCTCTGCCACGCCTGTACTCGTCGTCGTGGTCGTGGCGGTGGTCACAGTCGGCGCTGCACTTGCGACTAAGAGAAGGGGTGTTCGTGGTAAGACCAAGGGTGAGCCCAACAAGCCCGCTACCACAATGGGGGTGGGTTTGGGCGCCAAGGGTTGCAATTTCGGTAATTGTTGCTGCTGTTGGCAGCTTTCGCGATCGGTGTTCTTGCTGTTCACAATGATTTCCTCTTTGCGCAAGCTCATCTTGAACTTCAGACTGCGCAGCACGTCCTCCACTGGTCCCGTTACGTTCGCTCGCACGTTCGCTTGCGGACTGGTTGACTGTCGCGCGGGCAAATCACGTGGTACCGGTCGGCCGCAGATCGCGGGGCAACCAGCGAGATTGGCCGGGCTGCAGGTACCGTCTCGATTGGCACGCATTATTACCGAAACCCGGGCTGGCTCTGGGCTTGGCGGCGGCGTACCGTCTAGCAACAGCTGAAAAGATAAGAAGCTTTGTATTCGAGAGATTCGGGAGAAATTATTACTACGTTGTAGATTATATTCTGAAAGATATTTCTTTGTGCTCGCGATGAAGAAACAAAAAAAAGAGTCGTAAATTTATTCAGTAGTGAGTCAATTTAACAGGATAAATACTGCAATTACGGTATCTCAAATGTCTCTGATTTAAAAATAGAGCAAATTTAGAACATTCCGTAACGCATTGAATAACAGACAGCAGTCTAGAAGAAATAATCTGAAGCTATAGATATAGATATATACTGAAGAATGCTAAATATACATATATCGTCTTATTAGATCGCACCGATAGTTGCGTTCAGCAGAGAAAACAGCTTTAAAATTTTTAGAAATGTAAAATTCTTTAGTACGATTAGTTTATACATTTAGTTCCAGTGAAGAACTAAGGACAAGACAATTATTATATCTGCATTCTCTACTGAATACAGACAATAGCACAAGCTATTTATCGATAAGGAACCGATATAGCAGTCAGCATTTTTGTCGAAAATATCGATGGAAGGTATGATTACTCGAATGATAAAAAGCTGAAAGGAATAAAACGCTGCGCACTCAAACGGAAGCATATCACAACAGTTCTGGCTCGCTCTCTATTCGACTCGATTAAACCAAGCCGATAAATTGAAGAGAAACTAAGAAAAAAGGAAGAACGAAATAAAAGAGACTTACGCTATAATCGTTCGTGGAAAGTTCCTAATGTGTCGAATATTCCGGAACAGCGAAAGAATTTTCACAAAATGTTCAAATAATAATGAAATGTTTGAAATACTGTATGAACATTTCTTGTATATATATCACAAAAGTCGTATAATAATAAAAATAAAAATAATAGGCGAGAATATAAATAGCACAACATTTTGCTTGTTCGAGCTGCAAAGTGAAAGTAAAAGATATATATATTTGACAGTATAATTTTATTAAAAAATTTAATCAAGGCTTTCCAGATCTGAAATTTCTGGGAAAATTTTAATTTTACGGAACATACTTGAGACATTCTCCGAATATGATCGACGTATAAATAATGAAATATTTAACAATTTAAATATTACTCTTTCAATATATTTCGGGATATTCTGGAATATCCTGGTATATTCTTTTAGGATTTTAGAAACATTTCACGAATATTTCAGAAATACTTGACGTTAACTGTGAGAGAGAGAGAAAGAGAGAGAGAGAGAGAGAGAGATGTCGCAAAATATAGCTGTCTGTCGATAATACAATCTGCTTTATTTACCTTCGCCAGCTCGCATTGCTCGACGCATCGCCGTTTTCGGGGTGGCTCATCCTCCTCCGAGTCGGAGGGCTGAGGGGTAGGCGGTAGGACGGGATGGGAACCCGCGTCCTCTTCTTTCCGCTTGGATCTTGTCGACTGATCCGAAAGCTTCTCCCCTAATAGAGCCGCGACGCTGAACGATAACTGTAGTGGTTCCATCTGCGAAACAAAAGAAAGCATGAGAGTACAATTTCGCCAAAGAGCTTTATCGTGTAAACGCTTGCCGAATGCCATATTATCTGGTTCAAGACACACAATGAAATATTAAAATAAAATATACGAAGCCAGGATTTTGTGTTTGTAAAAAAACGTTTCCAATACGTAAAAGTCACAGTAACGCGCGATTAAAAAATATATGAATATACTTCTATTTTTCTAACTTTCTTCCAAAGATAATCGAGTTATTATAAAAATTATGTACAGGCATGCATCTGTTTCTAATATGTACGTACATTGATAATATGCACATTTATTAATAAATATTAAATTTCTATATAAATATTTTATTTATATATCTCTGTTATTTTTTATTTTGTCTTATATTTCAAGTTTCCATCACACATTTCATTATGTCGTAATTCTTTCATTTCTGAGGAAGAACATCGATAATCATCACCATCAAATAAAATTTATTCATCAGATAACTTCAAACTTTAATAAAATTTAAAAGTTAATGTGAAATATTAAAAAATTAAATTTATATTAATGAAATTAATATAGAATACAAAAAATGTATAAAGCTTATATTAATTTTATAATTATCCTGATGTCGTAAATGAAAATTATTGTTTCACCATAAATCTAACGATTCACCATCACAAAATGACGACAAAACTTCTTTAACACTGTAGAAGCGAAGACGTTCGAGTTTCGCGGGCAACGGTGGGCGATGTTATGGCGGTATATTTAATTCGCTGCCACTTACATGTTTCAACTGGGGCGAGGCCGGTGGGGAAAGAGGCGCCTGATTCGTATCCATATTTATGCGGAACGATGAGCACGATTCGTGGCTTCAGATAAGAAAGAAAGAAAAAAAAAAAAAAATGAGAGAACCAGACACCCTGTTTCTCAAGTCAGAATAAAACAGGAGAGAAAGAAACGAGCGGAAGAACGGAGCGCGCGCGCGCGCGCACGCCGAGCCCTCGTCGAGAGATAACTGGAGCGACGATCGGTACACGTAAACTTGCGGGTGTCTCGCGGTGCAATGAGGCTCTCTCAGGTCGGCGCGCTTGGCTATGGGACGCGCCGACCCGCGCCCGTTGCGTGTGTAAGTGCGTGATCACGCGGCGCGCGCGGGCGCGGCCAATCGCGACGAGGGGCTCGCCGGCGGCCGGCCAATCGGCGCCGCCCGGTCAGCCCGTGGCCGCGTGATCGCGGGCGTGCTGTTCACGTGCTCCCAGTCTGACTTGGTCCGACTCGGGCCGTGATCGTGACGTCAGCGCGCGTGGCGAACACGGTCGATACGTCATGGCGCGCCCCGCGAGCGTCATGCCGCCGCACCCCCTCCATTCTAATATGTTGTGTACGTCGTTTGCTCCGTCGGGTCCACGATTCTCGCCTCTCTCCGTCTTCGTTCGCATACCGTGTGGAACGGCCTCGTCTCTCTTCGCTTCTTCTGCGAATCTCTTCGTCCTTCACTACAAATTTCTCTTTCTTTCTCTCTGTTTTGCTTCATCCCTTCCTTTAACTTTCTCGTTTTGTTGCTCGTTTTATGCGAATGCAATGACTACGCGTCCTACGCAATAATAAGATGTGCACATTTTTTTTCTCGTGCTATATTATAGCTGATTATTTTTTTTTCTTGTAAAATTATATAATGTTATTAAATTTGTATTTTGTAGATTGCTATTTTCCTATTTAAAGATATGTACAATTTCGAAACATTAATTACTATTTTATTCTTTCTCTTTTATTTCTTCCGCTTCGTTTCAATATTATTCGACTGGAAAAAACTATAATCGAATCGAAATCGATCACATTCAACTTTCCAGAGAGAAAAAGCAGATTCCATAAATTAAGTTCTGAGTTATACTTGTCTAATAATTATTGAAGTTTCTTTCGTATACTTTCAATATTTTCTTAGAAAACATTCGATGTGATGGTCTAGAAGTCTGGATGGAATCAAACTACGCATTGAAGATTGAGATTGAAAATTGAAATTTGACCAATGAGGACGAAAGAAGTTTAGCTCCTATTGCTTTGATTGGTCAACTTTCAATCTTTTAATCTTTAATATCAATTTTCAATGCGTAATCCAACTCCAGCCTAAGATAATTCAATAAATGTGGCTTTTTGTTCAATGAATACAATAAAAAAGACTATTGGAAATAAATAATATCGATTATACATATATTTATCCTTATTTATATAATCTTTAGTCAGCTTTCAATTAAATTTTCTGTCCCCGCTCACGTAGGCAAATTATTTAAAAAATAGTTTTCTATACTCCTACATTATCGCGTTACTTATAACATGACTCAACACGTAGCGACAAACCCGCATCCGGAATAATCGGCAACAAGCGCCGGAAGGAGCCCGCACGAGCCTTTTCAGATCGACGATCTATAATGGAGGCAACCGCGCGATGCCTTAAAACGAACACTTTGTTCTATGCCACTTGTATACACCGTCAAAACAATGACGCATCGGAATGTTAAATGTAGAAATATAATATATATAATATAATACCTCGCGTTTTGAATGCCACATTGCAGAACCTTACGAGTGACCTTTTAAACATTAACCAAGTAGATAAATATATTTTAGAAAAAAAAATTTGATATTCTCATTTCAATACATCTTCGAGCTAAAAACTGTTAGCAGTTTCGACGTTGACATTATTGTATTAATTTATTATTGTCAAAATTAAAATGGAAATTTGTGAGAGATATATAGCGAAATTAGTAATTGAATGATGAAGAATGTATACGTAATAACCACGAGATAAATCGCTTCGACGATTGATGTCGTCTTCGTCCTTCCTGTGGCGATAACAGATTCGATGAACGCATGTCGTTGATTACATCGGATGCGTTCAACAATTGGTGGCGTGATTTTTCGTTACTGAATAATAAGTATGCATACAAAATACGTACGTTTTTGCGAAAATTGCTCAAGTAGAACAAAAAGTCACGATGACACCAAACCAACTTCAAAATGATTGTTAAAAACTATGTTTTGAACAATCATGATTCATTTTAATATTATTTTGATATATTATATTATATTTTACCCAGAATAGAATAAAAGACTCAATTATACTGATTGTGTCCCAAATACTAGCAATCTAGCTGATACTGTTTATAGTAATTATGACTTTTATCCTATTTTTTTTAAAATTATTTATGTCCGCATTTCATTGGTTCTTCGTTAGATTTAACAAACATACTCGCGTATGTAAGTTTTTTTAATTGTATATACACATTGCAGTAAAATTTGTAAATCTTTCCTCTACAATTTTCTTTTTCCTTATTATTTAAATGGAAAGGTGCGAAAACTGCGATTAAAAGGGACTTGAAAAATTTGGAAAAAACCGAGATTTCTGGTTATAAGAAGCTATAACGAGAAATGCTTCTCGGCAACGATTGTGTTAAATATATCGGCCGCCCACTTCGCAGAATGGTTAATTCCATTCTCTCTCGCCCTCAGGCTTGTTTTCAATTCGAATAGCGAACGCAATGGATTTGGATTCGCGAGTGCAATTTGCTTAATTCAGATTAGATTAGACAGATTATGGTGTATTCAGAAGATATTGCTAAATATGAAGCAATATTCTGTCTATATTAGTTACATGATATCAGTAGTTACTTAACATAATGACTTTTCTTATTATTTAAAAAATTTTTTTAGATACATGTTTCAGCAAAAATCACGATCATCCGCTGTTTTCGAATGAACTTCACAAATTACTATGTACTCAACATATCAGTGTGGATTTAACACCATGCAGTACCTCCACATAATTCTCATAATGTTGATGTTAATGTTAACACCAACATGGTGTGTATTTAAAATCCCTGTCGTGTTAACCAACACGTTGAGAATTATATTGACACCTCATGGTGTCAAATCCATACCATATTTTTGACGATAATTGTCACACAATAAATAATGTCGAGCGCACTTCGACTCGACGTTATTTATTGGTACTCTTGTCAAATTTGATCGCCCTTAAGGTAACGGGTGCTTGACAGGAAAACCGATACAGACTCCACGCCTCATCCCAAATTAAACCTTTGTTATGAAACCGTTACTATTTGGTTTCAAAAATCCATATATCTCGTTACTATTTATCATTACGTTTCTACACGACGACCACGAATCAGCCGTCGTGCTCGTGATCGTCGATCGCGTGGCGGAGGCCTCGACGGCTGCTATCTGCGAGTTAAACAACTCGCTGGCGCGCAAAAGTGTCGTTGATCTTGTTGTGAAGGCGAATAAGGGTATCGGCAGCGCAAAAACGCGGTCGATCCTCACGATTGCCGAAACTTCTGCAAAATCTTAATGAACAATTACTTATTGAAACTTTCATCTTCGGGGCCTGAAGATAAAGAGCATCGATAAAGTCGATATGCGAAAGAATTCTTTGTCAACATTATTATTACAATAATACAGTATATTGTTGTCGTAAGTAGATAAAGAAGATGGATAAAACAGATAGATAGCTTTATTTATCAGACGTTCTAGGATAACATTCTCTTAAACTAAAAACATTTATATCAATAAAAAATATAAAAGAATAAATATATGTATAACAATAAAAGAAAGAGATTACAAAATAATAGGAAAAATAAATATATATGTATATAAATAAAAGAGTGACTTTGGTATTTATAACGCAGTAGTAGTCAGAAAAATAAAATAAAAGGACATATTCTATTTTGCATATAAATTTATCACGCCTAAGTTAAAAATTACCAAAAATAGTCTGAGACTTTATTTTACAAAAGTTAAATACCATCGAGTAAATTAAGCACCTCATAAAATGACACTTGGATTCAATTCTCAGTCAATTAAATTCTTACAAAGCAATCAAATTTGCGAGAAGTTGTATAAATAAAGAGATAAATAGATAAAGAGTCTTGTTGTACGAATATGATATCGAAATTCGAAATAAAATGACGCGCAAAAAATTGGTACTCCCTTTCCAATTTTTCAATCATCGATGATTATCTACAGTGTGCATTTCTGACTGTGCAAAATTTTTGTCGCACATACCACTTTTGGATGAGTCTAATATACCTGATTTTCAATTTTTCTATTTCTGTTGCAATTATCAGGACGGACGAGAATCCAGCTTTGAGCGTTGAAAATCCCCCGTGTTTCATCGAGGCACGCCCGTGCTGCAGTCACGCGCGTTTCCGTTGACATGATGTCGCAATAAATAATTTACGAGACGATTAACGCTATTTAGACGCGACGTCTGCTTGCGACCTGCGAGACGCAAACAACGGCTATTTGACGGGGCGAAGGTGGATCGTGTGCGTCAGGGCGATTTTTAGGGTCGCTTTGATTGGAAGGAGGGGTGAGGGAGGGGAAGAATCGATGGCTGGTCCATAGATAAACATGTTAATAGGTCAATGTAGCGAATCTTACGTACGTATACTTTAACACATAAAACCGAAATCGCGTTACGATGACGTGGGAATGAAAATCGGATCTCAATTTGAAAGTTCATATTGAGATGCTTTAATCTTCTGTAATATTTATAAATTATTCATCGCTTTGTTGAACAATCTTTTACTTCTATATTTGGAGCAGTTTCTTTCTTTAGAAGAAGTTTCTTTAGAAGCGATATTATTAGCTGCGATTTCTCATGCTAAAATAAAAATAATCTTGAAGTGAGTGTGTGTGTATGCTGACAGGGTCCTCGATAGAGGACTTTACTACTTGTCGTATCATCATACTTGAGTACGCAAGAGTCAGCTCCGTATTAAAGAATTTTACTACTGACTTGAAAAACTATCAAGTCTGAAACCTCAATATTTTCATATTAGATTTTCGCTTTAGAATGCGTGCATGTGTGCGTGTATTTACAAGTTTAGTTTTGAAAAAATTTCAACCAACTATTGAGAAAAAAACCATACACTGATTGAGAGCAAGATACACAGAAAATTATCTGTGTGATAAAATATCTATTTTTCTAAAATAAATTCTTATTTAAATATAGAAGAATAAAATGTTATTCCTAGCAAATGAATCATTTATTTTATTCTTTTTGCAATTAATGAAATATTTTTTTCACAGACACGTGTGTATATATTTTGCCATCATGTTCAAATCTTTTTATATAATCAATAATAAATGTCAAAGAAATTAGAAAACGTCACGTATATGTAATATTTATTTGCGAATATATATTTACTTCCGATTTATTTTTTACAATATACAAGGATTTTCACACTATTACTTCATCATTGTAATCACATTTTTTATCACAATAATTTTGAATTTATTTTACTCGAAATTAATATCACATTGCTTATTTTATTTGTATTTTCAGCACTTTATTTATCCTTAGTCATTAAATAATTAAGAATTAATTTTGATATACATATACATAGGTCAGTCCGCTTATCGGACGAACGTCATAATAAAACGTTTTTTATGAATTTTTTCTTTACACACGAGAATTGCGTAAAATAAAACTATAAATGGTAACGTTACAAATCTTTCTATATACGAAAAAAAATTATGCGGTATTAACGCATTAACTAACAACAGATTGATTGAAAATAATCTAAATTCAGTTACAGTCATAATAAAACAAATCATGCTTTTGCTTTAATAAAGTGCTAAATGTTTGATAATAATTAAACAGATAAAATTGCTTAATAATTAAGCACAAATAGCATTTAATTAATAACTAAATATTTAATTAATAATACTGTTATCAATCCTTAATACACACAATTGGATTATTTATGTTCTCACCGTTCTTTTTCTTGAAATATTAAAAACATCTATGATTAAACAATGATTCACATTCTACATTCTTTTTCTAACAAAATTTTGGCATTTATTATAGAGAACAAGTTTTATTGTCGGCTCTCATCTTTCGATGAGAACGTTTTAAGATTCATTAAGTATAGACGGTAAAATTTTTGCAGCTAAACAAATTTGGATTTTTTTCTTTGTTTTAATTAATTCTATTACATTGCAAGAATTTTATAAATAATTAAAAAATTGAAAATGAAACAATTTGTCTATATAGACGTAGAATATTATAAATAATATTCATAAAATTTGATAAATATAAAATTTAAAAATATTCAAATAAAAAATGTTTTTTACAGTTAGCTGCAACTTTTTCTAATGCAGTATCAATGATAAAATGTAGTGTTTAAAATGCAATAAACGCTCAATTTATATCCATTTAGGCACTGTAGTCATTTTCAGGTTGCTCGATAACTATATAAACTTTATTTTGGAGAACCGACATATTTTTCTTTTATAATTTGGAACATCAACTTTAAGATATTAAAACATTTTTTCTTGAAATATGTTTCAGAGTTTTGCACTTTTGTATAAAAAATATGCAGTTTTGTCATTTTATAAAGTTACACGTATTTATCAAAGCGCATATACATTTTATACATATATTTCGATAAGCGTCTAATTCACGTGTAAGGATGATTGACGGCCTCGCGGGAATATCGCGTTGTGATACGCCGCGTTTTTTCGCGGCAAGGCAAAGCGCGTGTAATCGCGTGATAAAGAATTCTACATCAAACTATACACTCACAGCACGGAGCAGAACACTCGTGGATGATCGCGTTACCCACCATTCACCGTTTCATGAACGTCGATGTCGAAACGGGCTGCCGGAATGGTCGGAGCCCTTCATATGAACGATTACATTCACGAAACGTCAATATTGCCGATCGGCTACTTTTCAAACAAGCATGCGAGTACCTAGAATGATGTAGACCAACATTTTATGAATATATTAATATTTTTCAGCCTCTTTGCCACTTCTAAAATAACATGCTTGCTTTGGATTTATGCATATATTTAGCAAAGAGAGATGCGCGCCTATATTTTTTTAAGGAGACTATAATATCATATGGTATTTTATTTACAATTTACAATTTCCACAGTTCATGGATCGCGTGAAGTCCACGAAGTGGAACACGCGTACAGTCCAAAAGTTCAATCGAGACTTCGTGGCTTTTGCCAGCTTCTGCGCATTGAATCACTATCTTGCCAGTACACGAATACTTTTCGAATCGCACGTGCGGCAATTGTTCAAATATTATACAATAGACCACAAAGCGCCATCTCTTAGAGTTTCAAACGATCTTACAATGGATTAAAGACTGCGGATAAAGTTTTGGATCTCTAGCATTCCATTGCGGACTGTTGGTGAGATCACAATTGGAAAGGGTAAATATATTTTATAATTTATTTTATTTAAAATTAAGTATTTAATTTTAGTTAATTTGAATTTTTTTTTATTGGAAGTACTTTTATTACGAAAAATATTACCTCAACCAAGATTTGAGTGTAGAACTTCTGTCTTTTTGGGACGAGCATCTCGTTTCATATGTATATCGGTTTATTATTAATAAAATCTTAATAAAAAAATACTAAAAGTGAATTAATATATGACATCAATATGCAATTCAGTAATATTCCAAATGTTATGATTCATTACAATTTCAGTAAAAAATTTCTATCAGGGCAATTATAGACAACGTTCAGATGATTATACTTGTAATTTGAGAGTTTAGTGCACTGAAGTGCCGAATTACATGCGCGACTTATATAGACAGGTAGTCATCTAAAAAACTGCAATTGATTAAAACTCTTATTATCTAAAAAAAATTATTGTGTTTAAAATTAAAATTTACAAATAATATACTTTTATTAATTTTTTAAAGAACTTTTTTTCTTGCTACAGTATAAAATACTACTATTTTAAATCGTGAATGTTAAAACACCCTACATATTTTATATATCAACCCAAGTAAAATATTGTAATACACCTGTGACGTTAAATTGACATAAATTTAGTGAATTTTCTTTCAGTCTTAGTTAGTTAAGATAACACTAACTTGACCTTAATTTATTTTATGTAAGTGCTACTTGAAAGATTCAGTATATATAATAATACGACAAAAAAGAAAAACAGATTCAGGTTCGATATTTTATACTGTCAGTACTGAAAATCTGCAGCGTATGCTATGTGCAATAGATTTTCAACATTGACAGTGAATACGGATAAACATATAGACAAGAAATTTGGAAAAATATACGCATATATGTGTGCGTCTTATAATTATAAATTGCTATAAGTGTAGAAAGTGTAGAGAAAAATCTTTCAGCCAGCACCGCCCATACTAAGAAAAGATAAATACTTATAATGAATGTGTAATATACGAGAATATAGTCATAGTGTCAAAGTACGCCTGCTCTTTTTACTTCTTCTGACGAACATTCCGCGAATAAACGAGCCGAGTGAAGAAATTATGACGTCCTTAACGAAACTGCCGCCAATCGCAAGGCTATCCAACAAAGTGATTCGAATCCTGGGATGTAATCCTGGTCCGATGACGTTGCAAGGCACGAACACTTATCTCGTAGGCACTGGACGCAGGTGACAAACGTATTCATGGATAAACTCTATTTTCAGGAAGTGTATCTGAAAGATGCTATTAAAAGTAATTTATTTTAACAAAGAAAAAATATCGAAAAAAATTTTCTTCAACTAATAATGATATCTGTTTGACATTTTTAAACAATATTAAATAACGATTGATTCAGAAATATTTGACACAGACATTTTATAGGTTAAAAAATATATGTCAATCATGCTCTAATATCAAATAAACAAATTTATTAACGTTTATGTGAAACTTTGAAAAATGATGTTCTTTGATATGTAAGAAATATCGTGATTAAAATTGCCACTGTCGTGTTTAAAAACTAAAGAGGAATTTAAATTTTTGAGATAACAAACAAACGTGTATTTTTCTTAGGTTAGGTCAGTTAGGTTTCACACTCCGTTATACGCGCATGCGCTAATAAATAGCGCGTAGTTTTCAAAAGACACATTTTATTTTATTCATTCCAAAAGAAAAGAACGAAAACATTCTTCTCAATTATACTGTTCAACAAATTTTTTGAAAACAAGAATAATCGTTTTTCGTAGTTTTTTAGGCAGTGAATACACTCATCTCAGGTATTAAATTATTCTATCGCTTGAAAAAATACGAGAATCGAGTATCTTCGTTCTGTGCACTTTTTTTTTCATTGAACGATGTTAATGAAGTTGAAAATATTTAAGGAGAATTATTAATGATTACAATAAGTTATATGAAATATTTTTGAAAAACTGAGTGTAATAATAAAAATAGATAAATAATAAGTAAATTAATAACGCTATTAAAAAATAACGTGCATTATAAATTACATTTTTGTGATAAATAATGTCCTTATCTTATTAGAATAATATCGCTCTATAATAAGTTATTGCTATATCTTTTTTTAAATATTTTTTAATCTTATGAAAATCGTAAACAAAAGTGATAAATGGAGTACATATTTATAATAAATTTATAATAATTTATAATTTACAAAAAATTATTATAATGTATACATATAAGTTCAAATAAATATATAAGTTAAAATAAAAGTAATTTAAAATAATTTGAGATATATTTAAAAGTGAATGCGCTATTCCTTCAAGGAGTGCAAATAAATTTTTTTTGATGAGTAATTTATTATTACAGACGTGTGCTAGTTGATACTGGAGAAGCAAAGACGGCTGATGATTATATAAAACTCTTAGACAATGTATTAAACGAAGAGAATGCGACTATTGAGCATTTAGTGATCACACATTGGCATGACGATCACATTGGAGGAGTGGAGCCCGTACGAAACTTGGTAAAGAGATTGTTTCCCATGGAAAAGCAACCAACTGTGTGGAAATTGCCACGATCGCCTAATGATAAGAACATCTCCGATCTTGAGAAATCAATTCAATGGAAATCTCTGAAAAATGATCAAATTGTGGAGGTAGAAGGAGCGAAGCTTCAAATAAAATACACGCCAGGACACACCAGCGATCATGCATGTCTGCTGCTGCAGGACGAGAATATTTTGTTCAGCGGCGATTGCATCCTCGGGGAAAGTACAACAATCTTCGAAGATCTCCATGATTATATGTTATCGCTAAACAAAATCCTGGAGATGCAGCCCAAGATCATTTATCCGGGTCACGGACCAGTTCTTAATGATCCCTTGCCACATATACAGTATTACATAAAGCACAGGCAGCAGAGGGAGAAGGATATTTTACAGATACTACAACAACAGGGAAATGATAAATCGATAACAGAGATGGATATTGTTAAGCTGTTATATAAGGTAAATAATGCAATAAATTAATTACTTATGCAAATAATTAATTTTTTAAATAATTAATTAAAAATATTTGCACAGGATACTCCAAAAAACTTATGGCTACCCGCAGCATTTGCTGTGAAACATCATCTTTACAAGCTAAAGAAAGAGGGAAAAGTGTTGCAAGAAGAGGAAGGTTGGCGAAGAATTAGAGGCAAAATATAAATAGGTATAACATGTGAAGAACATTCAAGATGGGATAAAATTGAGTATTTAGAAACCGAAATAATGTTTTGATCGAAAACTTATAAAATGCTAATCCTGGAAAGAAACTACTTAATTGTATTTTGTGTATATAAAATATATAAATATAATTTAAATATATCATATTATAAAATATATTTTAATGTAAATTTAATTACGATTATATATATATAAATCTAAATTAAGTTTTTATTAAAATTATAAGAATCTCAGATAAAGACAAAGAAATTTTGTAGAATGCGCGAGAATACCGTTGTGAAACATTTATTCAACTTACAGGAGTAAATAATGATACATTGTTACGAATTTCTGTCGAAGTTAGGCTGGTTTTGTTATCAATGACGTGCGTATAACGAGAAGAGCACACGTTTACGACAATTCACGAGATACATACCGCAAGTGATACACAGTTTTTTTCCCAGTTAAGACGAATCATTAATCATCGCGTGCAGCTACGGACACATTACAACAATCAATATAAAAAATATATGTGTGTATATATGTATATATTTAATATATACATAATACACACACATATATGTGTATATATGCGTTGTATATGTATACTTGGTTAGACATGTTGCTGTCGCGACAATAAATGTTTCGTTACATTTTTCATTATAAAATCTCTCTTTCTCTCTATCTCTCTTTCTTCTACTAGCTACATAATCTTGGCGAATATTAGCACCCCTCGTCTTGAACATGTGGGGTATAACTACCCCAAAAATTCGATGTCGCGATATACGTACACGAGATATCGCTAAAGTGCGAACCGTTGAAATATGAAAGTCCAAGAAGTTGATTTTTTAACAATAAAGGAATTAAAAATGAGCATATACCACAAAACGCTGGATAGATTTCGCGAAAACATAATGTGTTTCGTAGAATATTAAAACGAAATTTTTATTATAATTAGTAAATAAGTCCAAGAAGTTGATTTTTTAATATCTAGGAATATGGGAGATCAGCAATATGTAATTAAGAAAATTCAGTACAATACATAAAATTTAAGAATATAGTATTCCTAGAATATTTTAGAGGGTTTATAATCCTGAGAAATGAAAATTTAACAAGTTAAAAATAAAAATATTAAGATCAGAAATATTAAAAATAAAAGATGTTCGATAAGACTTCGAAAATTCAACAATTCGAGAACTTCAGAAATCTAATTTATTGATTTGATGATCATCGTTGATCTTAAATCCGGAGAATTAAGAATTCGGACACGATCATGTAATTTTTCTTTAAAGTCTCGAAAAGATTTACGTAAATCTATCGTTTATCGTGTAATTAAGTATTTTTTTTTTATTTTTAAGAAGTTTAAGATTTTAACTGTACGTAATTGTTCTGTGATTCGTAAAAAAAAGTTTATGCGAGATCAGAATGAGTGAAGAATTAAAAATTACATGATTGATGTCCTGATGATTTATATAGGGAATCTAAAAATATACAGAAAGAAAAGTATAATCACTGTTAAATTAAAGAACTTCGCAACTTACAACGCACTTTAGTTACATCTAATATATATAATTATATGGACGTATATGTCCTTAATAAGCTCACTTTGTTATATTTAGCCCGCTCTATACTCTCTCTTTGGATAAACGTAAAAAATATATATATATTTATATATATATTTATATTTATATGTATATATACTACTTCAACATGCAACATAATCTCTCACTCTCTCTTTCATTCCCCGTCAACTTTCTATTCTTCTATGAAAATAATGATAACATTAACGCATTCACATAACTATATTATCATTATCAATGTACTAGATAACAAAAAAGAAAACAAAATAACTTCAATTATCAAACAATATATATATATTCTAAATATATGAAATATATACTTGAACATGTGGAGGCCACAGCGACGAGATGATCCATTCTTTCGCAATGAAATCAAGTCAATAATCACCACAACAGCGTAAGCGGTAATGCAGTTCATCATGTAATTACGCGTTTGTTTCCGGCATTTTTTAACTTTGCAAAAAGCAAGAAATAAAGATTCCAAGATTCGAGAAATGAAACTGGAAACTTAGCCGGATTTTTCTTTTTCATTATCCTTCAATTAATTTCTTAATTTCTTTTATCAATATTAAACTATTAATTAATTAACACTAAAACCACGCTGTTGGATCCCAATTGCATGTGGGATTCAGTTTTTGAAACACGACATTTAAGGATTAATTAATTATCTGAACATTTACAATATATTTCTCTACGTTTGCATTATTCACTCAGTAAGAGTCCTGCAATAAAAATAATTGAAAATAGACCGAAATAAAGCATAACATAATATACAACGTATTTAGTTGAGGATATCATTGAGGATAAATAACGAATCGCCAAGAAAGATTGACAATTCATAGAAAAAAACATATAAAGAAAGAAAAGATGTGTGAAAGAGAAGAACATCTGAATTTGTCGCGCTTTCTCGTGCGCCCGTCTTATACTAAAATATTAATAGTTTTCGATCTATGACGATCTACTGCTGTGGACTTACGGCATTTCTTCGCCGTGAATCACAGAACGATCAGGAAGTACCTCTGAAAACTTTGGGTCATTACGAAATTTGTTATAATGCTTTAAATAGTGAAATGTCTTATAAATGTTTTATTATAGTACTGGTTAAAATCTATTATTAACCTTTTTGGTATAATGATGAATTTTGGACAGAGTATGTGAAAAAATTCTTACGTCTTCAAAAATGAAATTCCTTAAAGCGCATATTACAGTAGTGTGCTACTATTAGTAAACACTTGTCTAGAAACGCTGTTCAGTTAAATTCTATTGTATCAAAAGGATTAAGATTAAAATGTTGGAAATTAAGATTTTAAAAATCACAAAATTAAAATAACTCCGAAGAGAATTCAAGATAAATGTACTGAGAGACCCAAAGTTAACATACTGTACTTCTACTTTCCCTTTTATAAAAGTGACTTTGCATCACAAATGTGGCACAGAATTGTCAATATCGGAACAAAGTAACGACCTTGCAATCCGAGTTGAAATTAATCCTGCACAGTAACAAGTCAAGACAACACAAAAGTTCAAAAAACATCATAAGAGCGCTCAAATTTAAATTCTAATTTAAATTGCGCGGCCCAATAAGCGTGAGTACACATCACATGATCCTGTGAAATGTGTAAGTACTTCCTTGACAAAATCAATAAATCTGCGCAAAATTTAGTAAAGCGGCAGAAAGGTATATTATACATGTGTGAAACACACACAATGCCTAATATAATTACATTTCTTGTCAAAGAATAAAATTCTCAACAAAATATGCATATATATTCAGAATTAAGACAATATCTCGCATTGTAATGCGTCTATTAACATGAACAAGCTCATTATTTGAATTAGTATTCTCTATTGTCAATATTCTTGAGCGGCGGGAATGTGGTTTGTTCTCGAAGCAGGCTGTTGTCCTTCTTTAAGCTTTACTCCATTTATAAATATTTATATCCAATATTTCCGCGCCATACTGTACTTTTACCCTTGTGCATATTTCATAAGGGTTTTATTTCTTCCTTGGTAAAATAATTTAATTATTAAACGTCAGTTGTTTCACACAACTGACAGGATAAACTTTTTCGCTAATAGGCTGTTCGCGTTGCTTATATTTTTGCACTCAGTATCTTCATTTCTTTCTCTTCAACACCCAAATATATCGATCTCGTTTTATGTGTAAATTTTTATAGGTATCTCAAGTAACTCTTAAAATGATCTCATTTTCACTTCTACCGAACTTCGAATTAGCAGATCTATCAATTTTTTCAAGTACAAATTTTAGAGCATTACGTAATGCGAACCGCTTGCATTGTTATTTGAACGCGCAATTTAAATTATTATTTAAATTTGAACATCTATTTTATATTCACCTATAAGACGTTTTAATTGTTCTTGAATCCTGGTATCCCACATTTAGCTAGATACGGTCTAGTCTAAGCTCCATATAACATTTGAAACACTCTTCAATATAAGGCAAGTGAAATTTAAAACCAGCCGTCTATGTTTATGCACCAAATGCAGGACACGGAAGGTAGATTCTTTAAACTTTCATTCGGAAATAAATTCGTTGAAGAAAATTATCCTCTCCGTTTTTGTTGCGAAACGCAATAGTACTACAAGAGGAATCCACTTTGCGGAAGCTGCTCGAAACAGTTGGGATTGATGTAGCTCAGAAGATCATGTTCAGACATGGAGGTGAGTTCTTGAGGCAGCATTCCATCCTCTGTCTTCCTGTTGGTTGCGGTACTCGCGGCAGAATTGGGAATCGAAGCGTTTACAGTCTGGCGATTTGAAGTGACTGGGAGTGCGACTGGTGGTGATTTACTGGCGACTTGTTCGATGATGTTGTTTTGTGCTGAAGGAGATTTTGGTAGAATTCCCTCCATCGCATTATTCATTAATTGCGCGCTTTGAGTCGCCACGCTGTTCAGAATTTTCTTTGTGGCAATAATCGCTTGAGCAGTAGTTGTCGAGATCGGCCGATTATTGATAATATCCTTTGTGGCGTTGGTAATGACACTGTTAATAGCTTGCTCCGCTGCGTTGGTCAAACGCTGTTGAGAGGGTTCCTGAGCAGCTCCACTAGCCAAAGCAGAGCTAGCTTCGGCCACAAAACCCGCAGGCTGGTTCAACATGGAACCAATGTCTTGTTGAACAGCCTGCTGCATGGCTTGGGCTGCTTGAGCTTGTTGGACAGCTTGCTGCACTGCTTGAACCTAAAAAATTTTTTATTTAACATTACGTATAATTGCTGTATTTAATTTGGAATCATAATTTTTAATAACTAACAAATAATAATAAAGAAAAAGAAAAGCAATAAAATTTTTTGAAAGTCTATAGAATTATGATATTAAAATTTTATCTGTTATATTTTTATATTTTAAAAGAAAAATATATTATATTATATTGTATTTAAAAGTTTGCATTTATTTCTATATTTCTATTTGTAATAAATTGAATGTGATGCTGTGAGGCTCCATGTGAGAGCAATGGACTCGTAATTGACAAGTTCTAAATTTTGCATTTCATATTTAC